TTACCGGCCCTTCAAAAAGCCACCAGCCACAGCACAGGAGCCATTGCTTCTGAATTAGCCAGAGGTTAGCCAAGAAGAGGAGAATGTCTGGAGGGATTATTATCCTTGGGGCAGGAAGGCTATCAAATGATTTACCTAGTGAATTCAATTACTCCACGTGTTCCCTCCCATCTGTGTGGCCAATCTCTCACTGGGAGTGGGGAAGAGAAATAGGAATTAACTGCTGAAAAGACAGGCCTTTGGATTAATTAATAAGTGCAACCCAGATTGACTCAGGCTATTAAGTGGAGAGGGGGGCGCTGAAAGACATACACACAACTGTCTAGATGCTTTTCGGGGGGGGGGAGAGACCTAAACAAATATAATGACAGATGGAAAGGAGAACTGACCAGTATGTGCATATGGCATGGCTGATTTCCTCAACTTTGCTTCAGACAGAAACAGCTTTTTTTTTTTTTGGTCTGTGTGGAATGGGGAGGGAGGAGTTGTTGGTGATTAGATCCTGTTTCCTCTCAGTTTCGACGTCCTTTCTATCCTTCTGGAGCTGGCCAGGAAGACGGGGGCAGGTGAGGGAAGTGATGTGTAACAGTGCAAATGAATTGTGGGTGACCTAGCAAAAAGAAGTCCTTATATAACTATGTCCCCGATTTTTGTTTTAGCTTCAAGATCTCCGGGTCCTTCAAGCCTTCCTCCCTGCTTCCCCTTCCCAAAGAATGAATCCAAGTCATTGTTTGTATTCATTTACCTTTAGGTACTCCCAGGACCCCAGGTTATTCTCCACCTCTTTTGTAAACCAAAGGGCTCCTGGCTCAGAGCCAAAAGAGAAAGAAGGTCTTAAGGAAAAAGTCAAAAGCTAGTGAAGACTGTTTGCCTGCTTATCTGAGCACTCATTCTAAAAGGTCCCCCCCCAAAAAAAATTATGCCAATGGAGGAAATTCAACTTTATTTTTGTTTCCCATGACTCAGACAAAAATCTTGAAGATGAGAACTTAATACCAAGGGAATCAATAAAAGGTCTGGCTCCTTAACAGAATCCAAGGATTCTATGTGAGGATACAAACATGTAGTAGGTGCTTAGTTCTTGAAATAAATTAAATTTGATTGAAGCAAATAAATTGAATCTAGTCAAAAAAGCTCCATCCTTCTCAGTTTCTTTGTTATAATCTCTGGAAGTCTTTCAATACCGAAGGATTATATTGTAGTGTAAATAATACTAGACTGAGACACAGCAAACTTGGGTTCTAGTACTGATTCTTTCATGAAGGGTGTGGTCATTGCTAAATCACTTCATTTCCTCTTTTGCAAAATGAGGAGTGTTGGACTAAAGATTTCTTAAGGAGTTTCCCAATTTAAAGCATTATATGCTAGGGGTAAGATAGTTTGCTGAGACCTTCAGGGGCAGAAAGTCTGAGGGGCAGCCTAATGTAGTGTCTTGGGTCTGGTATCAAGAAGCCCTGGATTTGAATCACCTCATCAGACAGGTACTAGCTATGTGACCCTAGAGTCAACCGGTCTGAGTAGTTTCATCATCTGTTAAATGGAAACATTTATAACACTTATCACTGAGTATTTGTCAAGAAAACTGAAAAAGGTAATGAGTATAAAAATCTTTATACATTCGAGGTATAATTGTGTTTCAACTATAAAAAATGAAGGTGAGTCTAGGAAAAAGGTATACTTTGGCTTGATCTGATGGCTCCCAGAAAGCTCCCTGAGGGAAAGGATTATATTGTGTTTCTCTTTGAATTTTCAGCACTGACCACACATTAGACTTTTATTAAGTGTTTGTTGAATATAATGACATTAACTATCTAGAGATTTATCTTAGCATACCCTAGACAAGACTAAAAGCCAAGATGCCAAGTCACTTATCTAGTTATAGTTCTTTCTACCTTTGGAGAGGAGAATAAGTTGACCAGAACATCTCCTTTAGATGGTTTCAATGTGCTCAGAATTCTTCTGGATGTTAACAGACAAGAATCTTCACAGAATCTGTTGTTATTTATTCCTTTGCCTGATGACTTTAAGTAAGGTATTCATATGACAACCAAATGTAATCAACAGAAGAGCTCGGAACCACTCCTGGAGAACAGTCAGGCCCTGGCAAACAAAGGCTTCTTTGCGGATATTTCAGAAATCATCTGATCACTGTCTAGCCCATAATCCTTACTACCACCATTTAGGTATTCAGTCCCCCCACCTTTCCCTTTTAAAAAATGTTCTTCAATCTTCATTCCTTTTTAAAAAGATAACACACACACACACACGCACACACTTCTCTATTTTTATTAGGCCAAAATGAAGTGGAGTGGGGATCAGGAGAGGGAAGGGAAGGAGAAATTCTGCCATGATAAGAGGTAGCAAGTGTTTGCTGCTGACCCCTGTGCATGGCTGGATAATCGCAGTTTTCCATTACAGACAATGCATTTCAATTCTTGCCGTGTGCCTTTGTCCATCTGTATAAAGAAAGGAGTGCTGAGTGACAGCTCCGGTTAGCCTGCATGAACAGATACCAATAAACCCTCCCAACCTGGACCTTTAAAAAAAAAAAAAGCCACATGCCTGGTAGCCCGCGGCTTATTATTAAGACACCTTCACAGCTTAAACACTTAAAAGCAAACCAAATTAAATGGCAATTAAGAGAGTGCTAAACCCTTTCACATCTACCAGATTAGAATTTGGAGATAAACAGCTTTTATCAGTTAAACTGGGGCTGGAGAGGCACATGGAACTAGTTCTCAGCATATAATATGGATATATTTCCCCTATGACCGTCCCTTTTCCCAGCCCCCACTCCTCAGGGTTGCTAGATAACTCAGTGGAAGAGAAGTTGGGGGGAAGAGAAGCAGAGTTTTGAATGAAGTGGAGCTCCAGTGTTGTTTGAAAATAGATAAATCCATCTAGAAGATGGATGTGGACATGTATTCTCTCCTCCTTGCTCCCTCTTTGAAAAATGTAACTTCCAGCAGCTTAAAGGTTATTTTGGTTAATGGTGTTCACACACCGCGTGTCAGCGCTAAACGGTCTCCACGAACCCCCCAATTCAGCGATATTTCAAAAAAGGCAAAAAAAGGAGAACACAAAAGAAAGGGAGAAAATGGGTTGGGTGGGGAGTGGAAGACAACGTTTTACCTAAATTCAGGCTCTTGTCATATGTCTCTATTCTGCTTTTATTAAATACATATATATAGAAAGATAGATTCTCATCGGTTACACTATTTATGATGAGAACTTGGGACTGTCCATCAAGGCTATTTACTTTAAAAGCTTCCTCAAAGTGTAAGCCACTGTACCACGTTGCCTTTCAAAAGGGGGGAAACCACCCAAATTCGATGTAAATAAGGAAATGCCAACATTGTCTCCACTTAGGCAGAGCCAGCCACCCCAAAGTGTGTTACATTGGTTTGGGTGCAGTTCGGAAAAGGGAGCTTTCCAGCTCCCAAGGAGTATAACCAATCGGAACCAACACTTACCTATGTAAAAGGACACTTTAATTAATATATATATATGTATATATATATATATATATATATATATATACATATATATATATACTTCTATCTCTAATATTCACGTCTCTGGGCTAGATCTGTATCTTCACAATAAAATGTGTGCAAATTCTCTTCGCAGAGATGAGTCCCCACCATAGACTGTATAGAAAAGCATGATAAAGGTTGGAAAAAATGGATAAAAATGTTGAAAGAACCTACAGTTCCTTATTAGGCGAAGATACAATATTTATTCCTTGTCTCCTGGGATAAATCTCTTCTGCCTATTGTCCTCCCAGTACTCAGTGCTGATGCTTAATTTTCAAAACTTCTATATTACCAAGGGACCTACGACATCAGCCAAAGAAATACTCAGCAAGTACAAAATCTGTTCCAGGGAGCTGCTTTTGTGCAGAGGGAAAATTTTGTTCCTACAGGTTTTTAAGTGGGTACAAGGCAAGGAGATATCTGATCCGAGCAAAGCCATTACAATTTAGATCTCTATCTATAGATCATTTTTTTTCCTTTAAAAAATTGGAAAATACAAGAAGTTTGGATTTTTTTCCTCATTCTTTTTTGGAGGGGAAAATTGCATCGTAAGCTTTCGGAGAAACCCAACATGTCAACTACCTTTCCGGGACTAGTCCACGATGCCGAGGTATTATTACTTTTTTTTCCCCCTCCTTTTGCGCGCGTGTGTGTGGCGGCTGCGGCGGGCGGTGGCAGCGGTGGCGGCAGCTTCCCCTGTCTCTAATCTATATTGGACCGTTAAGCTTAATTATAATCTGGCTTTGGGGGGACTTAAAGAAGGAAAGGGGAGAAAGTTCGTTATGACATCTGTCGCCAGGAAGGGCAACTCACGGACACGTTAAGAAACAGTTGCCAAAATGAGAAGGAAGGGGGAAAAAATAATCCTAATAATAAAAGAACGGGGAGGAGGGGTGGAGGAGAACAAGATAGAGAAAGATAACGGATAGCCAGGAAGTCAAAGTAAAAGGACTGGTAAGGGGGGGAGGGGGCGGTAGGTGGACAAGGGGTGGGAAGAAGGATCCCCTTTGGAATGGGTTTTTCAAGTAGGGGGAGACAGAAACAGAGGAACCGATTTTCTCCCCCCCCCCGAAAAAAAGGCATAGAAAGTTAAGCGTTTTGCATAGATTTTTTTAAAGGTATACACATAAACGGTGATTTTTGAGTACCACTAGCCAAATGGCCTTGGGGGGCTCTGGGAGGGCTTTTGTCTTTGAATCTGGTCCGGGAAGGTGAGCTGCTGGATAGATCAGGTCTGTTGCGGCGGGCCAACCTTTCTTGCTGAGGCCATAGAACTCAGGAAGAATGGACTTGTTCCAGACTCCCGACTTTGCTGCGCTCGAGGCGGAGTGCGTTTAGAAGGGTCTGCGCGTGTGTCACCCGCACCTATATAGGGTGGGGTGTGTGTATGTGTGTGTGTGTGTGTATGTATATGTGTCTGTGTGGAGTGTGTGTGTGTGTGTGTGTGTGTGTGTGTGTGTGTGTGTTCCCTCTCTACTGAGGACGTGGCAGCCCACCCCCAGTTCTCCAGCTTTCGTGAGTTCGATGGCACAATCGCCTTGCCCTGGCTCTCCCCCTAATCGTTGGCTAGGTGGCTATATAGATATCTCTCTAGCTCCATAATTACATCTAGATTTAGATGGATGGAGAGCGGGGCTAAGGGAGAGTTGCGCTTTGGTTGAAAATGACAAACCTCAAGTTTTTTTGCTCTCCTTTTTCCCCCTCTTCCTTCCAGATACGTCACGACGGATCAAACAGCTACCGTTTGATGCAGCTCGGGTGTCTGGAGTCCGTAGCCAATTCCACTGTCGCCTATTCCTCCTCCTCTCCTCTAACTTACTCCACCACTGGCACTGAGTTCGCTTCCCCGTACTTCTCCACTAACCACCAGTACACCCCGCTCCACCACCAATCCTTTCACTACGAGTTCCAGCACAGTCACCCGGCTGTGAACCCCGACGCCTACTCTCTGAATTCGCTCCACCACTCGCAACAGTACTATCAGCAGATCCACCACGGGGAGCCCACCGATTTTATTAATCTGCACAATGCTCGGGCTCTCAAGTCCTCTTGCTTGGACGAGCAGAGGAGAGAGCTGGGCTGCCTCGATGCTTACCGCCGCCACGACCTGTCTCTTATGAGCCATGGATCCCAGTATGGGATGCATCCAGATCAAAGACTCCTGCCAGGACCCAGCCTGGGGCTGGCCGCCTCGGGAGCAGACGATTTGCAGGTAAATACGCATGCAGCGGATTTTTCTTTCCCCTCCCCCCCTCACTCCCACCCTCTCCCTACTCCCCCACCCCCCACCGCCCATTGATGCCTCTTCAGTAACATTAGGATCTCTCTCTCTCTCTCTCTCTCTCTCTCTCTCTCTCTCTCTCTCTCTCTCTGTGTCTGTGTGTGTGTGTGTCTGTGTGTGTCTCTCCCTACACACCCGCGCGCGCCGCGCGCACACACACACACACACACACACACACTTATTGAAACTTTTATCCAAACAATTCTAAAAGAAGTGAGCCCTTCCAGTCATCCTCATTGGACCAAGACATTTCACCTGAATTTGTGTCCAATTAACCCTGGCCTCCCCTTCAGTATGAATAGGACGCATTTGTGAACCTACATTTACTCAGAAGCAGGGGCAGAGTGGATCAAAAGGTCTCACTTACCTTCCTCCAATAATACACAAAGCAAAACTAGATTAATCGACAGCCATCCAAGCCCCAATACCTTTCTCTATGTGTGTATCTGTGTCTGTGTCTGTGTGTGTCTGTGTCTTGCAGTGGTCTCTGAAAGCCTTGAGATTTATTTGGAGACTTTAGCACTTTCTGAAAAATATAGGCCAGAAAACAATATATGTGTTCTACTGTGACCCTCAGCTCTGTTGAAACTTTGGTCAAACTATAAACTGCTCTGAAAACTCAAATTTCACAAACGATACTATAAGACACGGGACTTCAAAAAAAAAAGTATCACACTAGAACCCTCCACAAGTTTGTTTAGCTATAACCATTCTCTCTATCCAGACAGGAAGAAAGGACTGCTTGCCTAGACTAGATACATAATTATTGGGTTTTTTTTCTACATAGATATCAGTTTCAATTCAGATATAATGATATTTCTAATTTAAAAAAAATTTTTAAATGTGTATCTTATCACTCTACTTGACCATTCTTCCCCTTTTTCTTTTATTCACACTTACATAGTACATGATATACTGTATATCCATTTGAACACATCACCTATCTATCTATCTATCTATCTATCTGTCTATCTATCTATCAATCAAATACACGAACACATTAAACCACTCAACAAAAAGAAAACTACAGTTTCAACATCCTTTAGTGGATGGAACTGCTCTCTCTTTTTAAAACAACTGATTTGTTTCTTTCATCCTCACAAAGCTCTCCGAGGTTTCCATATCCACTCTATGGGCTGAAAGTGTAAGAACAGAATTTTGGAGACGTAGGAGATCCCTTGTTACGCACAGAAAAGCTTTTCCCCTCATTTACCTCTGAGCAAGGAGTATTTTAAAATTAAAGAAAAAGCCCTTTCTGTCATAACAAAAGAATGTTAGACCTAGGATCAGCACAGAGGAGAAAAAATTTGGCTTCATAAACCTTGACTTTCTACATTTAAATTCACTAAATAATTTTATACGCTCAGGGCATTTTTTTTTACATTTTCCACAAGGATCCCCTTATGTCACAGGGAGAAAAAAAAATCTGCCATTCAATGCTTAGCCCAACTAAAACCTATTTACTTCTTTTTATAACCACGTCTGCTGCTGATTTTTTTGTATCTGTACAAATTTTTTTTCTGTGAGAGGCACAAAGCCTGGCATTTTTCAAAAGAGGGGATTAGAACATTTGCAAGCACCAGACAAAGAGCGAATCCTGTGCAAAAGGACACCGTAGTTTATCCAATTTTCGACTTAGTGCCATTCAACTGGTCATTTATGCAATGTCATCCGACCAAACAACATGTTTTATTGGGAGGGGGGGAGTTTGTAAAGCAGAGGGATCCAGATTCGTTTCTTCTAAGAAAATAAACATCTTAAAAGATTCTGCTGGAGAGATTCTATACCTTATTACCTTGTACATTTCGTACCCTTGGGCTTGTCCTCTCCCCCACCCCATCCCCTTTTTTTAATATCCTTAATCTCCCTTCACTCAGTTCTACTCCAACTGGAGCAAACGCAGAGATACTAAAAGAAGCATAACCTGTATTTCCCTGTTCCCATGGAAGCACGTTTGTGCAATCTGTCTCCTTCCTTCCACCCTCTTGGACTTTGTTGACAGAATGGAAAGAGAGGGAGAAAAAGAGTCATAGCTACTTTTAAAAAGAGAAAGGAGGGGGGGAGACCCAGTCTCTCTCTCTCTCTCTTTTTAATTCTTCCTTTTTAAAACGTTCATCAGCATATGCCTCATTTCAAATGCAACAAATGTAAATATACTTTTCCCTGAACAGAATTTTAAGTGAAAGTCCAATAGTTTGCAGGGCGGTTTAAGTCTGCCTAACAGATGCAAACAGTCTTGGGGCTTCAGTTCCATCTTTGAGTCCCCTAAAAAGATTTGCTATGGCCAACAAAGGAAACTGTCACACCTTTTCCCATCACTGCTTTAATTTATGCTCGGTCTCCAAGTTTTTTTTTTTCATATTGATTTGATAATCACTTTAAGGCAGAACATTTAAAATAAGAAAGAGCCCAGCAGTGGGTTGAAAAGGGGGTCTTACAGGCTTGCTTCAATATGGTGAAAATGGGAAGGCAAAGAGGGAGCCAGGACTGTAAAGGTTGTTTTGTAAAGTGGGTTTTTATTATGCACCGACTCTCTCCGCATTTACTTAACTCTTCACGGGCTGTTGGGTAGGTTAACACCCTTCAAGGCCTCTTTCATGTCCAATACCTCGTTTGTTTGTAAAGGAAAATGAGCTTTTAACACATTTCCATTGAGCAAAAGTTTTTATTTTATTCTGAACCTAAAATGAGGGGGGGGACCCCTTTCCTCATTCCCAACGCAAAAGGTTTCTCAATCGGAAGGGATCCCAGACAAATGGGCAGCTCTGGAGCATGTGTCTGTGCCTTCTTCCAGAGACACACTTCTGTTGCCTCTCAGGGTTTTCCTGCCTCTGGGGCAACAGAACCAATATGTTCTGAATGACCTGCATGTGATATTTTCCTTTGAGCCCCCCAATATGGGTATGTATTATTAGGATTTGGCATTGCCCGTGTCATTTGCTGAATACAGTAGGTGCTTAATATGCACGTTAGTAGGTGTCTGTGTACATGATGTATGCATAGGTAGGGCATTCAAATAAAAGAGTACTCAGTGTTGAGATAAAGGGAGGCATTGTTCTTACAAGGCTTAGCTTAGATAGAATCATAAGATGCATTCCTTGAGATTTAAAGAATTGTCAGGTCATTTCCCCCCTTTTAAAACATGTTTGCTGACACTCATGATTTTGCTACTCTTTTGCTGCTACTGTTAAATGTTGCTGTTAAATGTTCTCCCCTCCTCTAGGAGGGGGGAGAACGCTGATTGGTGGGGGCTGACAAACCAGTTGTGATATCTATTTGTGTCTGTATTTGATTTCTTTCTTTGTTTCTTTATTTCTTTCTTTTTCAAGGGATCAGTGGATGCCCAGTGCGGGCTCGTTCTCAATGGCCAAGGTGGGGTGATAAGAAGAGGTAAGAATAAGTCACTCCTTCATGATCTCCAGTTAATTATTTTTAAGTGGCTCTTTTAATCGGATTAAATTATTTATTTTTAAGAAAAGAATCCCACTCTGTTTCTGATTGTTTCTGAGACCAGAAGCCCCCACTCACCCAGAGGAACTAACGTTTAAAAAGTCTCCAATGTATTTCTTTTAAATTTTTTATTTTATTCAATCAATAAAAATTCTTCTTCTCTCCCTTCCACCCCAATATTCCTTCCTAACTTGAGAAAACAAAACAAAACGAAACAAAACAAAACTCCTGTTACTAACGTGTATAATTAAGCAGGACAAATTTCCACATTGGCCATATCCAAAAAAAAAAAAGTATGCCTCATTCTGCCCTTAATCCTTCACTTCCCTATCAGGAGGTGAGTACACTCCCATAGCTTTCAGCTGCTCCCCCTCTCTGCAACAAACAGACAAAATGCAATCTGCAGGAAAAACATGAGGACTAAGACTGGAAAGGGGGGTGGTGGTAGTAGAGAAACCAGACATGATGTCCTAACGGTCTGCCAAAAACGCATGTCACAATGACAAAAATCGAAGTTCAAAGCGAAAAAACTTTTCACACCCTCCGCCCCTCTGGAATACCACCTCCCCAAGCAGAATTTCGGGTTTCATTTAGTCCCAAATGTGCCAGCCACCGCCTGTAAGATTTTAAGCAATGGTGTTAAGTTGAAGCTTTGAGGGTTTGTATAAAAGGTGTCCAGGAAAGCTGCAGGGGAGGGTAATAAAACGCCAATATTGTAGCTGCCCCTATTTTCCTAAATGTTCTGAACATTTCTTTCCTTAAGGGAGGGAGAAAGGAAGGAGGGGGTGTTGTTAACTGTACCAGATAAAGCTTTCTTGTTCCCATCTGTTAACAAAAACATCTGAATCCAGAGTTACTTAGCTCAGAAAGGAATGGGGTGATGGAGGGAGAGAGAAAAAGGTGTAGGATTGAATGCGCCCTTTATACATTGTTATGGGTTCATATCTCTCCATCACAACAAAAGGGAACTATATAAACCTAGATTCCTCTAAAACTCTTAGGATTTGATAGTCAAAGATCATAGCTGACTGTACTTGTGGTCTGAGCTTATTCTCCCAATGATATGAATAACCCAAGCCACAAACCAGGCAAGGGGGACCAGCTGTTATCCCAACTTCATAAGAATTAATAAGACGTAGTCTATTCACCAAGGCTAATTCTGCTTCGTGTTGCAGATCTCTTTAGTAAACCGAATTGCTAATATGTGCTGACTATGGCAAAAACTAAGTCATTTCTCCAACTGCCATTAAATGTACTTAAGTCACTTACTTACCCTTTAATGCTCGTTGAAAGACTGGGTACTTTTTTTGAAAGGGAAATGAATTGGTAGAAATAAGTAGGGCCTTCAGTGTTTGAACTACAGGCAGCATAGCCCGAGTAGGCTAACACCAAGTAAGAAGTTTGGAAATTCAGATAGGTCTACACATCGTTACTAAGGATAATTTCTTTTTAAAACATGTAGTGGTCACTAAGCAGAAGGTGTGAGGATGAGAAGAGGAAGGAGCAGGATGTCAGCACACAAACACTAATTTGTTAGCTAGGCAAATTCTCCTACCTACGTAGTAGTGCATAAACCTGAAACAGGCCTGAGTATAATGACAATTTGAAGATATGTGTACACATCCGTAGGACCTAAGGAAAAGCATTAGGAATTAGTGACAGGTAAAGTGTTACGAATGAAACCAGTTGGGACTGCATCATTAAAGGTAAGACAGGCAGTTCAGAGAGGCAACCGGCTTGTGGAGGGTGCAGATGGTGCTGAAGGACAGCGCCACTAATTAGACTCCTGTACTCTTTTCCTTGGAGGACTTTTTGTCTTTGCTAGTACAGTGTTTAAGTTTCCTTCTCTATATTTTTTTCTAAAATTCATTTTAAAATGCTTTAAATGGAGTCATTATGAGAGAGATCAACTCCTGTAATAACTAGTAAAAGTTACGGGGGAAAAAAAGTGAGGAAAAGAATTAGGAAAGATACTGGAAAGTATGAGGGGAAATAATGTGAGAAAGTTGTATTAGTTTGGATTCTGTAAGTTTAGATTTAGGAGGTCATCTTCGTACTAGAGAATTTGGTGTTTGGAGCAGAGAAACTGAGTGCCGGCTCCTAAAGCTGTATGTAGAGAAAATGGTTTTCATAGGTGTGTAATTGTTTCTCTCTGATTAGAATATGGTACTGTTAATTAAACCTGGTAAAGGATGTCAAGTCTGAGATTACCAACTCCAGTTTGACACTCGAGGAAACACTTCAGTAGTTAGCAAAGAGGGGGGAGGGAAAGACGTTGGGGTTCCTATACTGCCTAAGATTCATCTCCCAGTTGAGAAGATTCCGAGCTTTCGGTTTTCTCGTAGACAATTTCTTCCATCTCTGAAGCCCTGGTTAAGGCGTTCTGATTACTGCTATAACCGATTGTAGCCAGGGTTTGTGCGTGCGAGCATATGTTTTCCTTAAGAGCGATCAAGGTTTTCGAGGATTTAAAAATTGGTCACAAAAGAAATCAGCTCCAAAAGAAAAAAAAGGAGCTTTTCCTGCCTCATTCAGCTACAACCACTAGTTTCACGGCAAACCTAGTGCATCTCTTAAAGCCATAGCTTTAAGTCTAAAATGCGGAAAGATATGATGCAAACATTTTTCCTGTTTTCTGAAAGAAAGAAAAAAAGTAGCCCTTTCCTCCTGTCACTAAGGCGCTGCAGGAGTGCCCCATGTTAAGCATTAAGTTAACTTTTTTTGTTTCTTCTCGTCGATCAGGTGACAGATGCTAACTACAAAGTGGGGGAGACACTCCAGGATTTGGGGACAATTTATATTTAAATTGCTCTTAACTCTTTTCATCACATACTTTCGTGTTACTTTTCACGTGTAATCCAAGGGTGACATAAATTCGGGCTGCGTAAAAATGCGAAACTTTTTCCTGATTTGTCCTTGTTGCCTATTAAGTCCCCCCAGATCATCTGACATTCTTCTTTTCTAAGTGGAAGGAATAATAATTTTAAAAAAAACCCTAGATTTCTTTTCAGTAGACACGAAATATAATTTGACTCTCGGAGTTCTAACCATGGACCTATCGTTCCTGTAAAAGCTCCAGATGTCACTTCTCTGCTCACCTGGTTCAGCAATTGTACTTAGTTTTCCTTTCCATGTCTGTGTTTTCTTGTGTGTGTGTGTGTATGTGTGTGTGTGTGTGTTATCTCTGTGTCACTCTCTAAATGTCTTTTTCTACCTCTTTCTATGTCCGTCTCTGCCTTTATCTCTCTGTATCTATCTCTGTGTCTCTGTTATCTGTCTCTGCCTATATCTTTTTCTGTCTTTTTGTCTGTCTGTGTCTGTCTGTTTCTCTTTCTCTCTCTTTCTCCCTGTCTCTGACTGTCTCTGTGTCTCTGCGTGCGCCTCTCTGTCTCTGTCTCTCTGTCTCTCTGTCTCTCTCTCTCTCTCTGTCTCTGTCTCTCTCTCTCTCTCTCTTTCTCTCTCTCTCTCTCCTTTATTCTCCGAGAAAAAGAATGACATTTCAGGGTCTAGCTGATACACGGGGCAATTAGTTTGTGTTTGCCTTTAATGAGGGTCGGAAAGTAAAAGAATGTACAAGGAGACAGAGACAGTAGCTAGGTAATTACTATCTAGATAAAATATTTGCCACCGAATCTGATGCAGCTATCCCTGTGCTATCACTTTCAGTTAATGGTGTGCAAGATTTCGCCCGGAGCTCCGCCATTCTAACCATCACAACCAATAATCTTTACTTTACCCGGGCGCTCTCGTATCGATAGCTTCTCTAGCCTCGGGCACCTGCTTTGATATGTTAATATTTCTGAGTACCAAACTCTGCAGAGATCATATTAATGTTGTACATAGAGAGCGGGGCTTTGCCTTAGTTGAATATTCAGATTCCCAGTTTCAAAAGACAGCTCTTGAAGAAATGAAGCTCCTATTTACAGAAGTCGTCCGTGTTTTTAATCATTAAAAAAAAAATTCAATCTTTTTTTTTCCTCCAAGAATCTTCTCGGTTTCTCCCTTTCTTTTCTTTGTTAGAAAGTCGCACCTTTCATCCCCCAGCAGACGCATTTAATAATAAAGGAACTATAATAATCTTAGCACTAACTGTAGTGATCTTGATGGGTTCTTTCGTTTGAATGGTAGGGTAAAGGATTGGCCTTAGTTGGGGAGTTCTGGACTGAAATGGAGGTAGTGAGGGGTGGGGGGTGAATGTAGTCTTACCTATAAATACTTGAATTTTTAAAGGCAACATGATGACATTTGGCCCGTGTGTCTCTTTATAAAACTCAGCTGGCAAAATCCAAAAAAAAAAAAAGAGAGGTGGGGGTGGGGAAAGAGCTCTTGTTTCACTTTGTGATCCTTCTGCCTTCCTGCCCCAGGCTAATTTCAGAAGCTTAAATACCGCTATAGCCTCTGGGCCACGAAGAGAGAGGGCCCAGTCTACCGGCAATAGCTCTTTCTCGATTGCCCTTGGCAACATAAAATACAAACTACTTTGAATCAAAACATTTTTGGGGAATTAATATGATCTGAACTCTGCACGTTTTAAGAGCTCTTGAGTTTGTCAAATCGCTTAGAGGTGACTGACATGCCAAGGCTGAGGCGTTAATGCTCCGGTACAAACATTGTCAGATCTTATTTAATTAAAAAAAATCCTTTCTTAAAAGCAGTTCAACATCAGTCGCCAAAAGTCTGCCAGTAACGTCGTGTGGCCCAGGTTGCTAGCCTCCTCTGCTCTTTTAGGGTGCTCACTAGTGAAGCTAGGGAGGATGGGGGTTGGGTGCGGTGCATAGGTTCCCAACCCCTGTAATTCTGCTCTTAGAAAGCTCTAATCTATGCAACTCCAGGCTGGGCGGAGGGGATAGGTGAAGCTTTTACATACCCTGCGACGTGGGTGGGGAGGAAAGTGCAAAAAGAAGGGAAAGAAACCTTTCCTTTCTTTTTCATTTGCAATA